ATATAGCAGCTTTAGGGCCCAAGTATATACTATATAGGTACATGGACCCTTAGGGTCTGTTTTTGTTTCGGGTGCGGGGGGTTTAGGCAAAGTCGTAGAGCACCATTTCGACACCATCTCGAGGTAGGGATTTATAGGCTCAGAGTTTAGAGCTTAGGGTTTAGGGTTTGGGGTTTAGGGTTTGGGGTTTAGGGTTTAGGGTTTGGGGTTTAGGGTTTAGGGTTTGAAGTTTGGGGTTTAGGGTTTAGGGTTTAGGCTTTCACAAGAACATGCCACTCAGGGTCCTGACGCGCGACTTGGATGAAACGAGCTTCGTTGTGAATAACGCAGACATCTTTATCAGCCATTCCTGGAGCGCAGGACATTTAGGATGTTTAGGGTTTAGGGTTCAGGGTTTAGGGTTTGGGTTTAGGGTTTAGGGGAGCGCAGGACAGTTGGTGCGGCTCTAGGGATCAGGGGCTTTAGGGATTATAGGGCTTTAGGGTTTCAAGGGTTTATGGGGTTTAGGGTTTGGGGTTTATCAGGAGTGCAGGATGTTTGGGATTTTGGGAACTAGAGGAGAAACCCTGAGGAGTTATTTAGGGGCTACGTAGGTATATAGGGTCTATATAAGATTTTATAGGGGTCATATACGGGAATAGGGCCCCTGAAGGATGTAGTCCCAAATCCTAAGCAGCCCGAAACCTATACGTTGGGATGTAACCCCCCTATACGAACAGTCCTTAGTAGGTTTTTTTCTGTTTCTAGGGGGTTGCTCTAATCCCTATTCAGGACTTGGTAGTGCACAGGGGGAACATCCCAACCTATACATCCTCACAGGAAAGCCCTTTCGGGTAGCTGCAGGGCCCCTGAAAATGGCTCCTGGCCTTGTTGGAGGTTTTAGGGTTTAGGGTTTAGGGTTTAGGGTTAAGGGTTTAGGGTTTAGGGGGGTGCCTAGCTGATGTCCACGCGCCCGGCATGTACGCTGGCGAGTGGTTTGCTTGGTGTTTCCGGTGTCTCCGGTGTCCAAACCCTGAACCCTAAACCCCAAACCCCAAACCCCAAAGCCTACAAGCAAACATCCACACCGATCCCGACCCCATCGTCAACCTGCACGCAGGACGCTGGCAAAAGACCCTGGCACTTTGCTACTTCGTCAACTGTACATTGGCTGTCAAGGCGGGAGGTTTAGGGTTCAGGGTTCAGGGTTTAGGGTTTAGGGTTTAGGGTTTAGGGTTTAGGGTTTAGGGTTTAGGGTTAGGGTTTAGGGTTTAGGGACACTTCGTAGGCTTAAGGAAGTTTAGTATTTGGGGTTTAGGGTTTAGAAGGTTGAGGGTTCGGGGCCCTTCGCACGGTTCAGGCTTTTAAGAGTATAAACCGTAAACCTTGTACTCGCACTGCACAAGGTGGGCTTCAGCTCTCGCGCCACATAGAGAGCAGCAGCGCCCCCCAAGGTCTATGCACGCAGAGCTTGAAGCTACGAGCTAGTGTCTGCGATTGAAGAAGCTGTGGGCGCGTGAGCCCTACTGCACACCCGAGTTGTACACCCCAAAGACAACTGCCCTCAGCTCTAGAATCCTGAAAATCCTAGACGCTTAGATGATCAAAACCTTTCCACCCCAAACAACTAGAACCTTCAACCCTCCACAACTAAATCCTCAAATCCCCAATTCAAGCAGAAGACCTGAAACCTGTAGGCTCGTATTCCCCTTTGTTTGGGGTTTGGTTTTCCTTATTCAACCCTTCAACCAAACAGGGCACCCTTTTATTCTCAGGATACTCTTGGGTCTAAACCCTAAACCCTAAACCCCTCTGCACCCGTTGCCCTGCATCTTGTCTTTGGAAGGTTCATGGTACTTATTTACCACTTGTCACTGTACTTATAGTCATATTAGGGCACTTGAGGGGCTTGCAAGTGGGTTATATGTACAGGTATTATTGGGGTTATCAGTACCCTAAACCCTAAACCCCTGAACCTCCAAGCAGTGGAAGGCCGCACTCGTCGCCTTCCTGGGAAGTTCGCTCATGCTGCTGACCGTGTTCGGATCTCCGGCAGCTCTTGCAGGCGTTAAACCCCCAAGTTGGGTTTAGGGTTTAGGGTTTAGGGTTTAGGGTTTAGGGTTTAGGGTTTAGGGTTTAGGGTTTAGGTTTAAATTTAGAGTTTAGGGCTTAGGGTAACAGTCCTTAATAGGGAGTATTTTAGAGGTACGATAGTCCCTATTAAGGACTGTTAGTATAAGGGGAACATCCTAACTTGCAGGCTTTCAACCCCCCCCCCCCCCCCCCCAAACCCTACTTGGGCCACTTGGGGGTTTCCGAGAATTTGTGTGCCCGTTTTGGGGTTTCCTATAAAAAGAAATACCCTAAACCCTAAATCCTAAACCCGGCTCTGAGTCACAGCCACAAGTCTTCCAGGCCTTTATGTTGGGATGTTCCCTTAATAGGGTTTAGGGTTTAGGGGTTTAGGGGTTTAGGGGTGTAGGGGTTTAGGGGTTTAGGGGTTTAGGGGTTTAGGGGTTTAGGGGTTTAGGGGTTTAGGGGTTTAGGGGTTTAGGGGTTTAGGGTTAGGGTTGGGATGTTCCCCCTTATACTAACAGTCCTTAATGGGGATTATAATCGGGGGTACTAGAATCCCTGTTAAGGACTGTTAGTATAAGGGTGGAACATCCCAAGTTTTAGGGCTTTAGGGTTGTGCCTAGCCAGCCCTGCGTCTCAAGAACGAGCGTTTAGGCTTAAATTCAAACCCCTATTACACCCAGGATGTGTCTCAAAAAAGGGGTTTGGGGTTTAGGGTTTAGGGATTCGGGTAAACCCCTTATACACCCAGAACATATTGTGCCTCTTTCGTTGGGCTTGGAGTGTTCTCCACGGAAAGATCCTTCCAGAATGACAAATCGTAAGCCTTGGTCCCTCAGACTTGTTGAACACCTTTCCTTGGAAGATGGACTGTGTTTTTCTCACCCTTGGTGTGGGGTTGTTAGATCCTAAACTCAACTCTTCTCCTCGCCCGTCTATTCCTCGCTCATCCCTAAATTGCCCAACTCTAGAGTGTCCCTGGAGTGCCCAAGTCTCCCTGGAGTGCCAAAAAGAGAGTGCCCCGGAATTGAGCCTGAGTCTCTCAGAGTGCCCAACCCCAGAGTGTCCCCGAACCCGAGTGCCCAGCCCCGGCAGTGCCCAACCTTTCACTGGAGTGCCCAACCCCAGAGTGCCCAACCCAGAGTGTCCCCGGAGTGCCCACCAGGGTCTCCCTTGACTGTTGCCCAACCCCAGAGTCTCCCTGGAGTGCCCAGTGCCGGAGTGTCCAGGTCTCCTGCATTGCCCAATCAGTGTGCAGAGTCTCCATGGAGCCATAGCGTGCCCAACGCAAGAGTCTCCCTGGAGTGCCCAACCCCAGAGTGTCCCGGAGTGCCCGGGCACTCCGGGAGTCTCCCTAAACTCCCAACCTCAGAGTTTTCTGAGTGCCCAATCCCAGCCCGGAGTGATTAGCCCCAGAGTGTCCCTGGAGTGCCCAAGCCCAGAGTATCTCTACCAAGAGAGGGTGGGGATGTTCGAAGTAAAATGGTTTTGTTCTGAATTGCATGGCTGTGTTAGGGGTTGTCCTGTTTTGGCCTGTAAACCCTTTTCCCGAAAACCTAATCCCTAAACCCAGTAAATGGCGCAAGCCGCTGAACGACATCACAGAGGGCAGCTTAAGTCGTTCAAAAGAGACAGGAGGTTCAGGGTTTAGGGTTTAGGGTTTAGGGTTTAGGGTTTAGGGTTTAGGGTTTCCTTCTCCTTTACTAGGGTTTAGGTTTTTGGGTTTAGGTTGTATACCGCATACAAGAGCTGCCCTACTTCTTGCAATAATTCATTACAACACGGGTGTCCGCCTACTCATGTCGTCTTTATGTACATACATCCAAAGGGTCCATGTAAGTTTATAGTATATACCGGGGCCCTAAAGGTACTATGCGGGAACACCTTTAAGGCCCAAGTATGTACTACAGGCACATGGACCCTGCGGGCGTACTGTGCATTTTCGTATCAGTGCCATCGGGGGTGTGGATCGGGCTTATGGTTTGTAGGATCTTTCTAAACCCTAAACCCTAAACCCTAAACCCTAAACCCTAAACCCTAAACCCTAAACCCTAAACCCTAAACCCTAAACCCTAAACCCTAAACCTTGGCGTCGCAGTGCAGGCAATCCTGTGGTGCCGGTACTAACGGTCGACTTCCCGATGGTGGTGTTCTACTCTTTCTTCCTGTTTGGGCACAGGCAGGCCTTTAAGGTATAGGGTTTAGGGTTTAGGGTTTAGCGTTTAGGGTTTAGGGTTTAGGGTTTAGGGCTGGTGGCGGATGAAGAAACGGGAGTAGCGGTGTACCTTGCCCATATCCGAAAGTCTGAGTCCGCTTTACGGCTTCCGCGTACCTGCTTTATTGTCTCAGGGTCGTTTGAAAGCTGCTTAAGCCAAAAAAGGGTCTCATGCAGTGTAGGGTTCCGAATAAGTACTAATAGTTTCTGCTCATCATTTGTTTGTAAGTATACAAGAGGACGCCCCAAAGCCCTATTCTAAGTATCCAGGCCCCTACGTAAGATATCTGGGGTGCATCCAGTGCCTATGCAGGCGAGCAGAGGCAAAACCGGCCGTCATGAATCATGTAAAAACTATACTATTTTCTACAGTCCCTCCAAAAAATGTACTATAATAATCCCGATATTCGTAAGGAGGTGTTTTTCCGTTGTTGATGATGTTGTTGTTGTTTTTTTTTTTTTGGGGGGGGGTGTGTTCTTAAGCAAATCGTAGTAAGGGGCCTTACCCTGCATAAGCTAAAAGCCCTCGCACGAAAGGCACACCGTAGAGCCCGCGGTAAGCAACAACTTTGCGCACGTCCCGCGCAAGCTAAGGGTTAGAAATTCGGATATAGGCTTCCTGACACCGCTCAACTTGAAAATGCTAATTGGACGAGTCGTGACTTGATACCTACCTGCGCGTTCAGCCGAGCACTGGATCAGGACATGTCTCGGGTAAACCCGGTAGCGCATGGTTCAGGCTGTGGAGTTCCTCTGAACTCCCTAAACCCTAAACCCTAAGCCCTAAACCCTAAACCTTGTAGACCCTAAAGGATTTTATGAAGCAGCTTGAAGTTCCCTAAGCCCCCCCAGTCCCCTAAACCCTAAACCCCAGACCCTGACGCCCTTTTGCTCCTTCCTTGGGATGTTCCCTCTTCTACGAATAACCCTTAAACAGGGATTAGGGTTTAGGGTTTAGGGTTTAGGGTTAGGGATTGTAGTACCCCCTATTGTAATTCTGATTAAGGGCTGTTAGTATAAGGGGGGAACATCCCAACTCCTTCCCTTCAAAGCCGCTGATCAGGTTTACGTGTGGTATATGGAGCCCGACGTTTTGGCTGGACAAGCTCTGCATTAATCAAGTCGATGGCGATGCCAAAGCAGAAGCTATTGCAGCACTTCCTGACATCGTTCGGAGCTCCTCCCGAATGGTACTCTTGTGGGACGACACCTACTTTGAGCGTCTTTGGTGCCTCATGGAAATTGGCATCTTCGCAAACAGCCATGACACGGATGCGTTGAGCGTCTTGCCTTTGTGGCTGGCACCATGGCTTCTCTTTGGCATGTCCTTGGAGTGGCTATGTGCCCGATGGACGATCCCACTGGTGAATAGCTCTTTGACCCAATCCGAACCCTGGTTTCTGATTCCCCCGATTTCGCCCACCAAGCTCATTGCACAGAATGTGGCGTTTGCGCTGGGCATTACAGTGGCTCGTCTGCCATCCATCGCTCTAGCACTGCTGGCGTTCCATTTCAAGCTGCAGACTCGCCAAGCACTGCTAAAGCAGCTCGAGATGTTCGATGTACACACCACAACGAAGTGCCTGGTCGCTGGTGACCGCCCCTTGCTGGAAGATATGCTGGCACGACTTTATGATGAGATTGACGCCTTGCCTCTTGCCGTTGCCTTCGATGTTCCGGATTCTGAAGCTCAGACCCTTCTGCCGCAGCGTGCTCTGCACGACAGAAAGCTCGCCGAAGTTCTCAGAACAGAGTCGGTGAGAAAGGTTACAAGCTATCCAAGCCATCAGCAGGCGTTAGAAGCCTTCAACACCTTCATCCGTGAGCATCTTCTCCAGAAAGCCTTGCAAGAATCTGGTGCAGAAACTCGCATCTCTCCAAGCTTGTGCAGCTTGACATACATGGCATTTGTCTGCGGGTGCTTATCCGCCACCTATCTCCAATGTGATGGGGTCCCATGCGATGTGGAGGCTCAGGCAACCGGCTACGCGTCCACTCAGCAACTTGGACCCGGAGTAGGCCCTTTTTTCCTTTTTGTTTAGGGTTGGGGTTCCTCCTCAAAACCAAAAAGGGCACCCTTTTATTCCTAGGTTACTCCTGGGTCTAGGCAAATGTGGGCGGCGGACGTACTTGCCATGCTGAACACGTTTACGCTGGTTCTGCCGACATTGCCATCACTGCTTCTCAAGGCGTGGTCCGATTAGGGTTTAGGGTTTAGGGTTTAGGGTTTAGGGTTTAAGGTTTGGGGTCTTTGTCTTTGGCAAACCCTTGCTCAGGGCCCGAAGCACGAATTCGCCTTGAGGGATCTGGTGTTCGACGCGTCGCATCTCCCTAGATATCTGTGTGACTGCATGACACAGCCACTGCACCGCCTTCAAATGATGAGGGATAGACCGAAAAGCATAAGACAGCCGAGGTTTTCCTGATTGTAGTGTGGCTTTCAGCTTTCTGCTGGTCGAAAGAAATTACAAGGAACCACCCTTCAGTGTAAACGCCCAAGCCTGAAGCCCTGTCCTCCTGGAAAGGTTCAAGGTCCTCAAGGTCTGGGTTAAAATCTCTAAACCGACCCAGAAACCCTCCACCAGGCTCGATCTCGCAGTGCCTGCTTTGGCCGTTTTGTTTGTTGTGGTTTCCAGCAGTCGTGCTTAGGGTCTGAAGCCTAAATTCAGCCGTTAAGGTTCGGGGTTTAGGGTTCATAGGGCGTCGCTCGGGTGGTCTTGCCCCAAGCCACGAATCCCGATCCCACGCTGGAGTTTCCTGCAAAGCGCCAGCCCCTCCCCCGGCCCAGAATTCAACGAAACTGGGATAGAATCAATGGTACCTGGTTCTTCTAAGGCATTTCGTAAATCCAGCCGACATGGCAGCTTGAGGGATTTCAGGCCATCGGGGTGTACGTAGGGCTGAAAAGGGATAAGGGTTTAGGGTTTATATAAGCCCTAAACGTCCCTAAACCCTAAAGCCCTAAAGGCCTAAACCCGAAACCCTAAACCTTGAGGGTTTTCGGGATTTATAGGGTATATGGTAAAAGGGCTTAGACGTGATTCACCCTAAACCCTAAGCCCTAAACCCTAAACCCTAAACCGCCCCTGCAAGGTTGCGGGTGCCGTTTCCCACCAAAAGATTGGCATTTGCTGTCAAGCTTCGGTAGGCTTGCTGCTTGGGACTGCGTGCCTTGTCTCAAGTTAGGGTTTAGGGTTTAGGGGTTTAGGGGTTTAGGGGTTTAGGGGTTTAGGGCTTAGGGTTTTGGGTTCCTTGCGTTCCAGGCCCGCAAACCACCAAAAAGCGCCGAGGGTTTGGGTCGTTTAGATTCCGGGACTTGGCCGGGGAGGCTGTTATGGAAGCCCGCAGTGGGAGGAGCACTCTTCCTTTTTTCTAACATGACTCCTTAACCTAGCTCGGTTCTGAACCAATGCCCTCCGCACCCTCAAGCCCTCCGATCCCGAAACCCCAAACTCTTCGGGTTTAGGGATTAGGGTTATGGGGTTTAGGGTGTCAGAGTGGAATTCCAACTGAGTTGGTTGGGGGAACGCTGGGGCGGGGGCACCATGTGCGGCTATACCACTTTTACGATTACAATCCTGCGCATACTACTATGCTACTCTCTGTTTTGCGACTCGCATTTTGGAGGGGAGCTGCTGTGCGGAGTTCTGTCAGACCCTGAACGCTAAACTTCAACCCTAAACCCGAATACCTTAACTCCAAACCCCTAAACCCTAAACCCCTAAACCCCTAAACCCTACACCCTAAACCCTAAACCTTGAAACCCCTTAACGACGCTGCCTCGGAGGGTTCAGGGTTGCGAGGGATTATAGTACCCTGGATTATAACTCCTTTCAAGGACTGAATAAGGGGGAACATCCGACCCTTGGGGTTTGGGTTTTGGTTTTATTTCAGATTACTTACATGGGCCCTCAATTATGGTCCCTTACCTCCCCTCAAGCGGTCCCCGTTTAAGGACTCATACTCAGGGACCATGAGAATCATGAAACTACCTTAAGAGTTTCGGGTTTGGGTTAAGGGTTTGGCGAGCCATAAGGAGCTGCGCATTCACGCTCAGCCTGAATGGCGTGTGCTGCGCCTGCATTACGGGCATGTTCATTCAGGACGGGGTTCGATAGGCTTTGTCCTGAGCCCCTCAATTTCATACCCACCAGGACTGTTTCTCCGTTCACATATTTTTGTTGATCTAATAAATTAGATCAATATGATTTTTTGTAACCAGGTGAAGCGATTCGATCTTTTCCGACCGCCTTTGATATACTTCTAACCCCAACGAGCCACTGGCGGAGCCCGAAGCCCGAAGCCCTAAACCCTGAACCCTGAACCCTGAACCCTGAACCCTGAACCCTGAACCCTAAACCCTAAACCCTAAACCCTAAACCCTAAACCCTACCCTAGACCCCGAAACTGTGTGCTCGTGCTCGATGCTTGCAAGTATTGCGCCCTATAGGGCATGGGAGCTTAGACTTCGGAGCAACTGTTGTCCCCTCGGTTGCGGCTCTAGGGCTCTTGTTATTGCTTTGGGCAAACCCTTAACCCTAAACCCTAAAGCCTAAACCCTGAACCCTAAACCCTAAACCCTGCGGTATGTTGGGGGAGATGTGAAAGTGCTTGGTCTTCAGATGGAACACAAGCGTCCCGCTCCCCCTGGCAGGATGCTCCTATGCTCTTCCTGGCCGGTTTTTGCGTGGTATTTCTGCTTGAGGCCCTGTGGATGAGGAGGGTTTTAGGGTTTAGGGGGTTTAGGCTTGTTCTTAGTGGGGAATGAGGGAACTGGGCCCCTATAATCTCTTACAGGGTGTAATATAGGACACTCATTCCCTCACTCCCTACGAAAAACCAGAGGGTGTGCGTGGTTCGGGGTTTACCCCTTTGCCACCCCCCAAACCCGCGTTTGGCGGGAGGTTGCCATGAGCTCGACATGGCCTCATAAACTTGGGCCCTAGGTGGGATTAGGGGGACCCTTCAAAGGGGACCTCTTCTCAACCCTCTTCGGGTGCTATTAAGGAGGGACCTTATTGAGAGGGTCTATATCCCCAAGGGTCCCCCTAATCCTACTTCCTATTGGGAGGCAGCAGGGTTTCGTGTTTCAGGGCGTTTGGGCTGATCCAGGGACTAGAGGAGGGATCCTTACAAGGGTTTAGGGGTTATATTTGGGGGTTACTAGGCGCGACTTGTGTATATAGACGTTTTCAGGTATATATCTATATATGGGTAGTTCTCTAAATTGGGGTCCCTTTTTGGGGTCCCTTTTTAAAGGGTGCCGCCTTATAATAGCTACCCAAAAGGGACCCTAGTTTAGGAAACTACCCATATAGAATCAGATTAAGGGTCCCTGCTATCGTCCCTCCTTGCACCCCTTAAGCTGAGGTCTTGGGGTGGTTCGCCTGCTTTGCCGACTACCTGCCAAAGCGCGTTTCAAGCTCAACCTCCAGCTCCTGCACCTTGCTTTGAGGTTTAGGGTTTAGGGTTTAGGGTTTAGGGTTGAGGTTTTTGTTCGGGCTTTGGGGCCGTTTCCCTTTTTCTGGTTCAAGCTTCCCTTATAAAGTAACCATTACTGGGCTTCCAAGGTTTAGGGCATGTAGGGTTTAGAGTTTCAGGTGCACCGGTTCCCCTTGTCTGGGGGTGAGGTTTAGGGTTTAGGGTTTAGGGTTTAGGGTTTAGGGTTTAGGGTTTAGGGTTTAGGGTTTAGGGTTTAGGGTTTAGGGTTTAGGGTTTAGGGTTTAGGGTTTAGGGTAGCGTTACTTGGGTTGCAAGCCCCTAGTCTTGAAGGGGAAGATGCAGATGCTCAAAGAGTTCGATCAATCCTGAGCACACCAAAAGCCCTGCAGGCAGTGGGAAACCCTACGCTTTTACGGTTATTCTCAGAATCGTTTCCGAAAGTAAAGTCTTCGTACCTTCCAAAAATCCTAAAATCAGAGTCCTCGGGGAGCAAAGGAGAACCTTGAGCCTTAAACCCAAGATCTCAGCCACCACTGCCGACCCACTGAGGGTGGAGGGAGGGGTCGCCAACTTAGGGTAGCCACCATGGGCCTGAATGTCGAAAGCCCTAAGCCTTAAGCCTGAAAGGTCGAGTTAAAGCGGAAGCCGGGAAAACTCCGACAGGCTCGAAAGAACTTGGAACTATGAACAGGGTACGGCTAGCCCAAACCCTAAATCCTAAACCCTGAGCCCTAAACCCTGAACCCTAAACCCTGAACCCTTTGGCTCAAGACTGCTGCCGCCCAGGCAGATGCTTGCTTGCTGCAAGGCCTGAGAGGAGGTAAGGCCATCGTCGAACTTCCGAAGCAAGAGCCCTCGGGGCGGTTTAGGGTTCGGGGTTCCGGGTTCAGGGTTTAGGTTTAGGGTTATACTGTTTAAACTTAGGGTTTCGGGGTTAGGGTATAGGGTATAGGGGATAGGGCCGGTGGAGAAGAGGAGTTGAGACGCTGGCTCATATTTCACCAGGTGTAGGCACCTGGCATCACCTGGCAAGGCCGAGGCGGCACTACTTCCCCGAAAGGCCCTCCTTAAACATCAGACATACCCCCCCCCCCCCCATCAAGGCCGTAGATATGTGTGTGTAATATATTTACATGTATATATATATATATATATATATTCTATAGACATGTAGAATATGTAATTATGTATGTGGGTATGTATACAGTTTTTTTTGTGTATGCATCTACACTGTATATGTATATGCATATCTGCATGATTGTGCATCTGTATATACAGAATATATATATATATATATATATATATATGTGTGTGTGTGTGTGTGGAGGGAGGGAGGGAGGGAGGGAGTGGGAGAGAGAGAGAGAGAGAGAGGAGAGAGGACGTTGGGATTGTTAGCTCGAGGAGAGGAGGAGAGAGGAGTGAGAGAGAGAGGATGGAGAGAGAGAGAGAGGGAGGGAGGGAGGGAGGGAGGGAGGGAGGGAGGGAGGGAGGGAGGGAGGAGGGAGGGAGGGGGGGGGGGGAGGAGAAAAGAGAGAGAACGACAGAGGTGGAGAGAGAGCGAGAGGGGGAGAAAACAAACACAAAGCGACAACTCTAACCCCCTGGGCCCGAAACATCGACAGTATAAACTCCTAGCACCCCCTCTCCCCCTTAATTGCAGGGAGGGCTAGCCCCAAACCCTAAACCCTAAACCCTAAACCCTAAACCTTAAACTCCATAGAACGTCATCTTCGAGACCCTGGTTGCCGCCGTGGATCGGTCGAGGCATTGCACATACAAGGGGCCCAAAAGCTTGCATCTCAGAGCTCCAAGTTAGAGAGGGTTTAGGGTTTAGGGTTTAGGGTTTAGGGTTTAGGGTATGTATGAACCCTATAAACCATTAAACCTTGTAAACCTCAGAAACCTTGTAAACTCTACAAAGTCGACAAACCCCATAAACCCTACTTTAGACCCCAAACCCTGCAAGTGGGGCTTCAAGGCTTCCATTTGGGCATGTGGGCTAGCTATATCTATCCCGAAGGCTCTAAAAGGATTCTTGTTTTAGGGCGTTTGGGCCCAAAGGCCTAATAAAAGGGGTTTTGGGCTATTTTGGGCCTACGGGTATATGTATGGGTTGGGAGATTTGAGGGGTTGCGCATGTAGAGCTCAGCTCAAAGACCGTCAGACCGTCTCGGCTTACAAGGCTAGCCAGGGCTTTGGGGCCACAGGGCGTTAGGGCGCTGATCCCTATGACTCCTTCCCTGCCTTCCTTCCCCCCCTCCTCTCGCTCTCTCTTTTGTTGTCTTTCTTGTCTCGTCCTCTCTCTCTCTCCCTCTCCTTCTCTCTCTCTCTCTCTCTCTCTCTCTCTCTCTTTCTCTCTCTCTCTCTCTCTCTCTCTCTTTCTGTGTCTTGAGTAGAGGGCGATGTTTCACCTGAGGAGGTGAGCCTTCCCGGTCCAAAAGAACATGGGAGGCATCCCACGTCGCTGCACCGTGAACAGTGAAAAGGTGGTTGTCGCCGTGACCTTCATGGGAAATCCCCCCCCCCCCCATTCCCAGATCTTCCTCAAAACCCCGGTTTGGGGTTTAGGTTTAAATTTGGGGACTGGGGGTTTAGGGTTTAGGGCTTTGGGGTGTTTTGGGGCTCAGGGTTGTAATGTTACGGTAGGGTTTGGTTTCAGGCTGGGTAGCAGCTGGCAGCTAGCATGTTAGCAAGGACCCTAAGCCTCAAGCTTTGAAAACTGGGCTCAAGAGCTCAAGAGTGATTAGCCTAGGAAGCAGTCCCCGAAACCTCGCAACCCCCCCGGCCCCTTCAGGTACTTCATCTCGAGGAGAAGCGCTGTAAACCTCTCAGACGCATCCTTTTCTGGGTTGGGACCCCCCCCCCCCCCCCCCGCCCCCAATCCAATTGCCAAAGGGGGAAAACGATATTTGGGGTACCTTATGGGATCCTTATCATAAGGGGATCCTTCTATTTGGGAGTCTATATTACTTGTTAGTCCCGTATTAATTAACGAAAACCCCCACATTTCGGCCACCAAATTGTAGTGGTTCGTACTTGACCCCTGAAAGTTGTGATATACCTGTTCAAAAACAGAAATGTGACCATACTGTTGGGATGAAGAGGGCTTAAAGTACTACTGTATTGCGGGATATTGAGGGCTTCGAGCTCATGGCAGCACTGGCGGTGCTCCTTTATTAGTCCCTCCCTTCCCCCCCCCCCCCCCCCATCCCCGCAAGTGTGCGTTGAATGGTTCAGGGTCTTTGCCGAGATTTCAGGACGTCAGGGCGTCAGTTGGTCGTAGCGTCGTAGCAGCTCAAGGCAGCTTAAACAACCGATTTCCTTAGTAACCCAACGCAAATTAGTGAGGGTACATGTGCTGTTTTATTCTAGGGGTAGATGGGAGGTTCCCCCTTGTACTGACAGTCCTTAATGGGCATTATAATTGGGGGTACTATAACCTAGTATAAGGGGGAACATCCGGTAGATGGGAGGTTCCCAAGATTAGCGTCCCTGTTGGGCTCCTACTATAATACGGCGCCGGACATATCGGGCACCCGACAGGGTGCCCTACTACCCACTACTGACTACACAACCTAAAACCCTAAGCCCGAGACCCTAAACCCTGAACCTTCCAGTAGGGCCAAGTAGGGCCCTGAAACAGGTTCTGGGCTTTTGTTTCAGACTTGAGATACTC